GTAGCGGAGGCTGCAGGTTTGGGGGTTTGCTCAGAGTAACGAGTGCAAAACTGTCCTTTATTTATTATTTTTTTAAGAAAGCAAAGCACAGCACAAAGCTGACATCGACAGCGGGAGCTGGGCTTTGAGCAGTAGTGCCTCAAAGGGGACGTTCCCCTTCGTCCGCCTTTGGAAGTCGGTTTTGACACATTGAAGTTGAATGACACGTGGTCTGGCCTGCGTCACGGCTAGCCGCGGTGCCCCCCTATGCTGCCCTGTGCTTTGGGCTTCTTCTGGCGACTTCTGCTTCCAGCTAAGCTGGATTAAAAAGTATCTGCTCTCGTGTATTGGGAGCACAAAACAGAAAAGTGCCAGTGTGGGCTGTTGAGTGTTATTTTTAAAGCTGGGCGGTATATGGAAGTGGCAGAACAAAGTTCCTCTTTCCAAGGAGCTCTGAGTTGGCCCGAAGATCTAAGCTCGCCCTAAAACTCGCTAGGATTGTCCGTAACGAAGGCCCCTCGTCTCCATCCGCCTCGAATCCCCCCGGCAGGCGTCGCGCTGCCTGCCCCACGCAAGAGGAGCCCTCGCCTCTTCCCTCAGCACTTTCCAGCCTTTCCCTTCGGCACCGGCACCGCGAGCGCGCGCTATAGGCAGCGCCGCCCGTGACCGCAGGCAAACTATGCGGATATACGTCGGGGCGGAGGTGGAAGGCAGCGCGGAGGGCACCGCGATGCAGACTGTGCAACTGCTACAGCAGGTCCGACGGGTTTCGGGCGCCCGGGGGCAGCTCCGTCTCGACTGCAGGTAGCTGCAAAACCGAGTTTTCGAGCCGAATTCAGACGCACGTCGTCATCTTCCGGTGTCTCCGACGCTGCTTTGCTTTTCACGCCTCTTTCCAGGCAGCCCTGGGCCTTTAGCAGAAGCGCTCGGCAGACGTGCGCGCACGTGGGTGCGAGGCATTTGCATATTTTAAAAATACCCGTTTCATCAAGATAGGAGGCTGGCGTTCATGCGCAAACCGCAGTGGGGTTTTTTTTTTTGAATAGTGGGAACATTTTGCTTTCTTCGCGCTGCGTGTGAGGGAGAATCTGCCCGGTTGAAGCCTCCTCCGGCAGCGACTTGGGCTCTGCTGTTCCCCGTGCGCCGGGCACGAGGACTTTGACCAGGGCGACGCTAACGCGGCCGTCCCGGGGGTGCAGTAACCTGCTCGTGCTCCCCTCGGGATCAACCACATGGTCCCTGCTACCCCCCTGCAAACACCCTCCTGCGCCTTTGCTCCCCTTCCTACAGCATTTATCGTGCAGGCGAATAAGAGGGGTGATGTCCGTGCGGGTGGACGCTGCACTTGCAGAACAAACTAGAATAGCGCCGGCTCGGCTGGGGTGAACGGGTTGCAAAATGAAGTTCGGGACACTTGCTTTCGGTTTCCTGCTCTCTTCTCCCGTATTTTCCATCCCCAGTTCTCCAAGGCGCACGCTGGGGTTGAATTTAGAGTGTTCTCTGCTAGCTGAGCAGTGCTAAGCTGGCTTCGGAATACACATCCAATGCTTGTGGTGTTAAAGCACACTGTAAAAAGGGTGTCCCCATATGGCTTTGGGTGACTTCTTTGGTAACAGTTGCATATCAATTATGGTATGTAAAAGTTACACAGAACAAATGGTGACTTCTTTTTTAAGGGAATTACTTTGGCATTGCCATTTTATTACGAAACCAAACAGGTGCCATAAAAAAAAAAAAAAAGGTCCCTCTTCTCCCTAACTGGGGCCTGCTGCAGGTCGAGGATAGGCCAAGGCTGGTCAAAGTCCCCTCCGCAGCTCTCCCGCCGGCGCTCCGGGCCGTGGGGAGCGGGACGGAGCCCGCGAGCGCGCGGGGCCGGCGCCGCAGGCTGTACCCACCCCTTGTGCTGCTTTATAACCCGCCAGGGAAGCCCCTTCTGCTCTAATACGTTGTGATTTTTTTTTCCTTTTTTCCTCCCCTTCTTCTTCCTCTTATAACTTTCAGTGGAGAGAAACTGGCAGGCCGCAGACTAGAATGACTTGTCCCTGCTGGGATGTACTTTGCATTTTCCAGTATACATTTCTTCAGAGTGTTTTTCTTTCTTCTTTTCCTTTTTTCACTCTCCTCCTTTCCTGCCCTCCCTCCTCCCTTGTTTGCTGCTTTTCAGTTTGACTGTGATAATTTATTCAGCACTGTTTTCAGAGCAATAACCTACTTTTTGGCAAGCCGCTCGGTTCCTCCCGCAGCGGTGGGGGTATCGTCTCCCCGCGCGTTTGTTAAGGGGCTGCAACGCGGGGGAAAAACAAGGTATCTCCGGGGAAAAGCCGCTCCAAGGCGTTGGAAGGCAGGGATGCTCCCCAAGCAATGGGAATACGGGAGGAGAGCTCTCCCCCTTCCACACGGGAATACGGGTGGAGAGCTCTCCCCCTTCCACCCGGCGTGTGAGCGCTGACACTTGGGCTTTCCCTGCCCTCTTAGCTCCGTCAGGGGAGTTTTTAACCGTTTCAGGCACTAACGAGTCTGGTTGAACCCAGCATTAATTGCTGCTGCACCCACAGAATTCCTAGTATTATTAACACCTGTAATAACATGGCTATAATCTAGAAAACCCCTTCTCCTTTTTTTTTTCCCCCAAACAACTTACTTAATGAGACAGTCATTTATTCCAAATATATTTATATTTTCTGGAGCCCCTTCCAGCTCTATCAGACATCCCGTTTGCTGCGTGCAGTTCGTCAAACCCATCAAGAGGGCCCCGCTTCTTGCAGGAGCGCAAGTTACATGGGGCGAGCTGGCAGCACCGGGGCCTGTTCCCGATGCGATAGCAATTCCTGCAAGCCGGAGCGCCGCGGGGTCCCCGCTCCCTGCCCCCCACCGC